AGCAAAAGGACCAGCATAAACCAGCAAAGGACCAGCATAAACCAGCAAAGGACCAGTTTAAACCAGCAAAGGACGAGTTTAAACCAGCATCCCAGCGTCAAAACATACCTAACCAGCATATGCTGTTTTTTTCAACAGGGTTGTGCTTGTCCTTGACAGTTTATGTGAGAGATTTCATTTATAAAAATGCTTATATCCCATTGAATATCAAATTGAAATGGACTATTTTACCTGATATTTGTGTGAGTGGTGTGTATTTATGGTTGTTAAAGTATTTTGTTTTTAGCTTAGCAACATGGCAAATTGCTAAAGTCAAATTGCATTGGAGTCAGTTGAGTCATATGCTGCTCACGTGCGAAACACTATTTGTATGTAAAACGGAGTTGCCTCCATTTTAAGCTTTAATTTCCAACATTTAACATTCTAAAACATATTAAAATGACCTCTTGGAAGGAATGTTTTCAGGGCACAGTTAGTTAACACAGTAAAAATGTCAAGGTGCATCTCAAATCCATATGCACTATTCTATTCTGTATATATATATATATATATATATATATATATATATATATATTGTATATGCATTTTTTAAGTATATATTTTATTTTTTTTAAATTAAACAAAACTACTTTTATTCTGGGTTAAGAAGGTGTCAGCTAAACATTAAACTTGTTTTCAAGTGTGGTCCTACAAAGAAATGTCTTCGTGTATAAGTATAAAAAGTGTGATTAGTGTGTTCAGACTGAAAATTCCAAAAATAAAATGCTTTGATTATGCTGTTAATTAACCGAAAAGACAAAGTGTGCAATGTTGGACACTTCATGCTCTCAACTGTCACAGCTTTCCTTTCCTATTAGCCTCCGATGCTGAATGACAAAATAACTATTCATACATAGATGATAGAGCACATAGTGCATAGTATTAGTACATTATAGGGACACAACATTTGTAAACAACACTCCCGTTGGGTGAAATAATGAAGTGAAAAGCAATGACAGTGTATTTATATTTTGTCGATGCTCTATCCGATAATGATCCTAACAAAAGTGCTCGAGTCTTCGGTTGCTATGGTTACCTCTGCACCTAAGTGTCTATTTACCACCAGATTAATTTGAGTCCTCACTAACTTTTGTGGTTGCTAAAACCCAGCTGAAACACGAATAGATGCTTCTGATGTACTTTACAGATCCAGCCTTTTGTTTTGACTTTCTCTTGTGGTTTCAAGCCTTGTAGGGGATGGAACCCCTGATACTTTGTAGTATCAGCAGAACCGAGCTAGTGTTTCACATTCAGGGGGTATATTGTGCCCCCGGAAATCTCATTCTCTCACACACTTCCTTTCTCCCCTATCTCTTTCCCTCTCTTTCTTTTTAGTGAGCATGACTGGAGGTAACAATCTCCTCACCATTCTGCCGTCTCCCCAGCAGAGAGAGAAATGCTCTCTGAAACACTCTCTCGTCTACTCTTTTGTCTGGCAACAAAGTGTGTATTTTTCACTGACAGCTCCAGAGGGGTCTCCAGAGATAATGTGAGGCTTTATGAAGGATATCCTCGGTTCAAACTGAACGCAAAAATAGCAGGAAATCGACCCCTGTGGAAAGACTGATGGGACCTCAGGGACAAGATAGAGGGGGATGAATGTTGTTCAGGATTAGCTAATAAAACGCTGTGAGCTTTTTCTGGCTCATATCTGTCATTACAGAGGTTCTTCACTATCTGTGCGTTATACGCAACCCCATATGCTCAGAGGTTAGAACATATTAAGAACTTGCCCTCTACACCATTATGCCCTGGTAATGAGCGTTAAAATGTCGTTTTCCCAGTGGACTTGCCTATAATTAATCAGATATTCTCACCTGTTTCACTACAAAGAAGAAAACTCCTAAATCTCTCTGGATCTGAGGCAGGATGCATTTTAGGAACACCTGCTCTGTTACGATGTCCTTGAAAGCAGAGTAATCTAATCGGCTCCTCAATAACTCATGTTTTTGCAATCTGTAACATTTATTTTTAGCCACGGGCTGCAGAAAGCATTAGATATTTATCTTAAGTATTCATGGTTGCATAGGTGATTTTTCCAGGCCCGGGATCGTCAGTGGAATAGAGATG